TAATTCAGGATCACACTTGGAGTGCTGTTTCCAGCAGTGGGCACTGCAGTTCAGGAAATGTGTGGACCACCTGAAGAGAACAGGTTGAAGAGAGCAAAAGTCATAACCTATGAGAAAATACTGAAACAATAAGAGCTGTTTAGTCTAAAGAAAACAGGAATGAGTAGAGGAATGGGTCTGTCCATTTGATTGTCAGCAAGTCATTAGATTGGCTCAGCGATACTGTGAACAGAGGATGTTTCAATCTGAAGAGTTCCCGTGTTGCCATTCCCTGAGCTTTGTGTATGAACAGCCAGACAGATTACAAATACCTGGATGTGACTAATGCCTGCAGCTGTAAATAGCTATAGATTTTGAAAAGGAGTAGGGAACATAATCTTGAAATTCCTCTTAAAAAAAAAAAAAAAGCAAGGAACATTTCTGAATGAGTAGCTTTGAGACAGCAGACTAAGTAGCAGGCTCCTAGCAAAAAAATCTCTGCTTTTTTGTAATAAAGCTTGCAGAATTAAGTCTTCTGGTCTTTCCTGTTTGTGTTGTAATAGGAAGAAAACAGCAAGCTGGAACACAACAAAACTCCAAAACAAAAGGCCACTGTGTTCAGAAAGAACCAGAAACCTATGGCACAGGTAAGAAGAAGCAGCACTTGCTCAGAACTGTTTATAAAGCAGCTAAAAGATAAATATGATTCTAGTATTTGAATCTGAGGATCAGCCCTGTTTCTGGTATTTCCATTTTGTTCACTTTCCTGTTGACAAGGAAGAACTGGCTGCTGTCCTTTTGGCACTTTGTCAGTACTGCAGAGCAACATTGGAGGGACTGCATTCTGCCTAATAGTGTAGTTCCATGTGGTTTTACCACTGCATAATGGAACAGTGAAGGGGGAATCACTTTTTGAACTGAGCAAAAGCATGTTAAAATAGTTTCACTGTAAAACTCAAAAATATTTGTACTTTTTAGCAGAATATGTTTGCAGGAAAAACTCTGTAGCTGTTGCTGCCAGATCACCTCTTCTAGTAACCTAGTAGCCAGAGACTCAAGTAGTCCGTCCCAGAAAAATAACACTAGCCTTGACTCAGCAAGTGAAATGACTTGGTATTTGTAGCTCACAGCACTCATTAAATACCCCACTTTTCCACCAAGTGTTGTTTGATTCACAGACTTTTCCCCTAGCCACTGGGCGAAGGACAACCCCTGCCAGTTATTACTGGGGAAAGAGGAAAGCCTTTAGAACTTTTTATGATAAGAATTCAAGCACATGGCTGCTAAGCCACTTTCTTTCTTCCCAGAACCCATTTCAGTAATTTATAATCTTTGGGGATTATGCCAAGCTTTTGCTTGACGTTTCAAAAAGAGGTCAGGAACTGGAAACCATGCCACACACGGTACTTTTCCTTGGCTGTTGAGTAACTTGCCCTGGTGGTGCAGCTCTGTTCACTTTCAGTCCCAAAACTGCTGGCTAACATAAGTGTAGTTACAAAGATTTGGTTAGTAGAACTGAACCATGGACTTTGTCTGAAACTGTTCAGTCACATCTGTGACTACTTTTACTGTTGCCAAAAGAAAAGGTTACTCTGCATGCTAAAGTAATTGTGTAATAAAAATGAATGAAGGAAAAAATATCCACTGAATAAGTGGAAGAACACTCCTTGCAAGGGGATGGTTGGATTAAAGAGTTTTTATAAAATGGTCTCCCAAAAGGAGTGATCTGTGCCTCGTCACATGACACACTTAAAGCTGCAGATGGGCTAAACCTACTGAAATGTAGCTGGACACAGGTTTGGTAGCATGTGACCTGCTTCCTTCTATGATTCGTTGTGCACGTCAAAAGAAAGGGAAAGATACTGTGTTTGCAGTTCTATTCCAAACCTTTTGTTTTGACAGGTAGCATGGAAGAGCGATGGTCTTTGGAAATTCAGGACAAAGGCCGAGTTACCTGTCCAACATGCCGGGCTGTGGTGAGAAAGACTGTAGAAGGGCTGAAGAAACATATGGTAAATTGCAGGCAGGTAAGAACACAAGAGGTGAGCAACGTGTTCTTTACTCCCCTTCAGCTTACTGATAGAAATGCCTGTGCACTGTTTTGTGTTGCATTTAAAACTAGTTTCATCTCATCATCATGTCTCTAAGTGAGAGTCCGTTATACATCTGTAAGAGGCTGCACTTGGTGCTTCTTGCTTAGCCTTTTGCTGGAGTTTTGGGGTAGTGAACAAAGGTGTAGCTATTTCATTGTGCCCCTAAATTTTAGGCTTCATAAAATCTCTTCTGTTCTTTATCAGCAGTTACTAGGCCCAAATAAAATGTTCTGCTCTCCTGCTCCTTTCCCCCAAAGAGTTTCCCACTGCTTTGGTTAACTTACAGTTACACACACCGTGTCCTTGTTTATTTCTAGGAAATGTTCACATGTCATCACTGTGGGAAGCAACTGAAGTCTTTAGGAGGAATGAAATACCATGTCATGGCAGACCATAACAATCAGGTAAGACAACTGCTGTGCATCTAAAAATCCTACAGGCAAGACAGTCTTTTGTTCCTTCCCTGGTGCACACAGACACAAAACGTGGTGTGTTTTTTCAAATGTTGTAGCTATTCAAGTCTTGTCTACTTGTTATTTTTCCTGTGAGATTTGACATCGCAAAAAAACAATAGAATGTTACCAGAGATGGTAGGCATGCTACATCTTAGAAAGAGGGGATTAATTTCTGTCTAGGCTGGTTTTATGCTACACATAAAAGGCATTCTCAATCAGAAAAAAAAAAAATTATTGCTTATTAGGCAGCAATTTCCAGTCCTTTGCTAGAATGTAGGAGTTTTTCTACATCCAGAGCAGACTAGATTTCAGTTCTTTGCAAATTCAAAGGTAAAAAAGCAGAAGCAGCAGTTTAGTTCTTGTCTCTATTTACTGAAAAGATACTAATGCTACAATCTGCTTTTCCTCTTTGCTATTTAAAGAAGGCAATGTATCCTGTTGTAGTTGTGAAGAATTAGAACTTTTGAAAAGGTCATTCGGAAGTTTGGGTCAGGTTTAGATAATTCATTACTGTTATTTTTTACATAGTTACCAGTACTGTGGTTTCTGAACCTACAGCTGTACTAATAAATGAAATAGCCCAGGGATCATCTGGCCCTGAGGAATAGGTCTGTCACTCAGTTCTAACTTTTTATTCAATCTAGGTGTAATATTATTGCAAGGTAGTGTAGGAAATAAGATACAGTAACCATCAGAGAAAGAATAGAGGAGAACTTGAGCTGTAGTTTAGCATAGATGAATCATTGTTACAGGCAGTTAGTCTGCTTAGCTTTCATTAGGCTAAGTGGAAATGGTAGGACCGGTAAATGTTAAAGATGAGTCAGTACTTTCACAGGCAGAAGGGGAGAAAAGTAATTATGGAAATACATACCCTTGTCCTTCCCAGCAGCTGTAGTTCGGGACTATTTTTTATCAAGGTTTTGTCATAGATAGCTCTCTAAATGTTAAAACTCTTATCTGCAAAGTGGTTTTCAGGCAGTTTACTCCTTTTAAAGGTAATTCAGTTGTTCTGGGATATAGACAGTGATCATTGTATTAGATACACTTCTGTAAAATCATAAGTTGCAGAGACTTAATTATTTTAGAAGCCTTCCTTCAATAGTGTGTTGAGTAGTGAATTCCCTATGAGAAAAACTGTAAATGCTGAGCATCCTGTGTTTTTCTTTCATCTTTCTGCTGTGCTTTAGCCAGTTGTGAAGGAGGGAGGAGAATTGGATGAGCAGCTTGAGCGAGATCGCCTTCGGAAGGTTTTGAAGTGTATGGGAAAATTAAAGTGTACAAGGGAGGTAAGCTGCATTGTACTAAGTATCCTGAATTAAACAGCAGCATGAATACAAAATATTATGAGAGTTCTGCTGGGTGTGCTTTGGTGCTGGCCAAAGCTGGATTTGTTTCAAGATCCTCGCTATGCTTTTAAGACAGAGTATCATAGAATCATAGAATGGTTTGGATTGGAAGGGACTTTTAAAGCTCATCTAGATCCACCCCCCCTGCAATGAGCAGGAACATCTTCAACTAGATCAGGTTGCTCAGAGCCCCATCCAGCCTGACCTTGAATGTTTCCAGGGATGGGGTGTCTACAACCTCTCTGGGAATTCTATTCCAGTGTTTCACCACCCTCATTGTAAAAAATTTCATACTTACATCTATTCTGAATTTACCCTCTTTTAGTTTAAAACCATTACCTTTTGTCCTGTCGCTACAGGCCCTATTAAAAAGTCTGTCCCTATCTTTCTTGTAAGCCTCCTTTAAGTATTGAAAGGCCGCAATAAAGTCTCCCCAGAGCTTTCTCTTCTCCACGCTAAACAACCCCAACTCTCTTAGCCTTTCCTCACGGAAGTGTTCCAGCCCTCTGATCATTTTTGTGGCCCTCCTCTGGACCTGATCCAACAGGTCCTTGTCTTTCCTTTACTGAGGACCCCAGAGCTGGACACAGTACTCCAGGTGAGGGTCTCACAAGAGTGGAGTAGAGAGGGAGAATCCCCTCCCTCGACCTGCTGGTCATGCTTGTTTTGATGCAGCCCAGGATATGGTTGGCTTTCTGGGCTGCAAGTACACGTTGCCAGCTAATGTCCAGTTTTTCATCCACCAGTACCCCCAAGTCGTCCTCCACAGAGTTGCTCTGAATCCCTTCATCCCTCAGCCTGTATTGATACCAGAGGTTGCCCCAACCCGTGTGCAGGACCTTGCACTTGGCCTTGTTGAACCTCCTGAAGGTCACACTGGCCCACTTCTGAAGCTTGTCCAGGTCCTTCTGAATGGCATCCCATCCCTCGGGCATGTCACCCGCACCACTCAAGATGGTGTCATCTGCTAATTTGCTGAGGGTGCACTCAATCCCGTTGACTATGTTGTTGATGATGTCAAACAGTACAGGTCCCAATACAGAGTATCATAGAATACTGAGGGTGTCCCTGAGGGACACCACTCATCACTAATCTTTCTGAATCACAGAATCATAGAATGATTTCGGTTGGAAGGGACCATCTAGTTCCAACCCTCTGCCATGGGCAGGGGCACCTTCCACTAGACTAGATTTCTCAAAGCCCCATCCAACCTGGCCCTGAACACTTCCAGGGATGAGGCATCCACAACTTTTCTGGGCAACCTGTTCGAGTGCCTCACCACCCTCATCGTAGAAAATTTCTTCCTTATATCTAATCTAAATCTACCCTCTTTTAGTTTAATGCTGTTACCCCTTGACTTATCACTACATGCCCTTGTTAACCATCCTCCAGCTTTCAACTATCCAGCCAATTTCTCTGGGGAGAATTTCCCTGGAGAATTACCTCTGAACACTTGTGAAGCACTGAGCATAGAGAATGAATTTTGGGATGACTGATACTTGGTTAGAACCTCATGATTAATCAAAGTAGGAGTCTGGTGAACACTAACTAGCTCAACTAGAAGTCTTAGGGCTTCACACATGACTTGTTAGGTGACTCTCTTCCTTACACGAGAAAAGAGTTTACCTTTGGTTACTGTCTGATAACCATTTGAACTCTTTTAGAAAGTATAACTAGGTGATTAAAATGGAGTTTTATTTTTGATTACAGGGGTGTTTTTTTTAAATGGCTTCTTTAAACTAGATGTGTAAATGTATATTCAGCAAAGGTATGACTTTATAAATGCATTCAGTGGAAGATGTCAGGGAGGAAGCGGTTAAAGGATAACCATTTTACCTCGCAACAGTATTATAAACTTTTCAGAATTACACAATTGTTAAGGCTGGGAGGAAACTTCTGAGGTCATCTAGTTCAATCCTTGTGCTCGAGCAGGGTCAGCTAGCTCTTCGAGTAATTGATGTGTTGGTGTCTTCAAGGGGGATTGAGAGGACACTGGATACAAAAAGTATTTTATTAATGTGTACTTCTGCTCTTTCCTTAGTTGTTCCCCATAGCTGGGAAGATGTTTTTATGCATAATTAACTGTGTGAGTTTGTGTTTTTTGAAAATATTGAGATTGGCCACAGCTAGAGAAGGGGATGGAGGGCAGATGGGTAATTCTAAGAACATTAAAAACTTGCTGATGCATGTTTGATTTGTCCTGTTTCCAACAGCGTCAAGTTAATCACTGGATTCAGGGTTAGGAGATACTCTAGTAAGTGACATCTGCGAGAACAATTGGAATTTTTATTGTCCTCCGCTGCAGTATGAGACAATAGCTGTATCCTAGGTGTCCTGGTTTTGGCTGGGATAGAGTTAATTTTCTCTCTAGTAGCTGTTTTTGGATTTAGTGCTGTGTTTTGGGTTTAGTATGAAAATAATGTTGGTAAGACACTGATGTTTTAGTTGTTGCTAAGCAGTCAAGGACTTTTCAGCTTCTCATACTGTCCTGCCATCAAGAAGATGGGGAGTGCACAAGAAGCTGGGAGGGGACACAGCTAGGACAGCTGACCCAAACTGGACAAAGGGATATGCCATACCATATGATGTCATGCTCAGTATATAAACTTGGGGGAAGCTGGCCAGGGGGGCTACCGCTGCTCGGAAACAGTCTGGGCATTGGTCGATTGGTGGTGAGCAATTGTTTTTTATTTACATCATTAGTTTTTCTTGGTTTTGGGTTTTTATTCTCCTTTCATTACAATTTATTGTTATTAATTTTGTATTATTATCTTATTTCAATTATTAAACTGTTCTTATCTCAATCCATGAGTTTTCTCACTTCTGCCTTTCTGATTCTCTCCCCCATCTTACTGTGGGGCCAGGGAGAGAGTGAGTGAGCAGCTATGTGGTGCTTAATTGCCGGCTGGGGTTAAATCATGATACTAGGAATAGCTGAAAGTTTTATTTACTGTCACCCTAATATTGCTGCATTCTAGACAGTTTGACCAGCGAACCAAGTATAAAACCTTCCTGTTTTTCTGCCCAACTCCCCCATTTGTATCTGAAAATCTTTCTGGTTTGTGCATCCTCATTTAACATCTTGCTTCTTCATTACATATATTGAAATTTTCTGTTGCCCACTGCCTACAAAGAAGTTCTAAGAAAGTTTCTCCCAGTTGCAACCAATTCTTTGTCTATCTGAATAGACTAACATTAAAGTTTACTACCTGATTGTCTCTGATCTAGCAGGAAAAGTGATAGTACTTTGGTCAGCAAACTGTGGATTCTATACACAGTGGTCTTGTGATCACTTGGAGAGTGTTTTTCTTCCACGCATTTTTCTTCTGCATTGACAGGGCTGCACAGGCAGCTTCACTAGCATAATGGGATACCTATATCATGTTAAAAAATGTGGAAAGGCTGCTTCTGAGCTGGAGAAAATGGCTATGAAGTGCCATCACTGTGGAAAAGCATACAAATCAAAGGCAGGACTTGTCTACCATCTCCGATCTAAGCATGGGCCGGTAAGTGCAAGTTGCTATCGTTATCAGGATAGTGTGGTGGTACTTCACCCATTCAGACTTGAGACACGTGTAGGCTTTTGTCTGCTATTTGGGTGGGTAATTAGGGATAGCAAATATTTGCATTTTTCTTTCTCTATGGAGTGTTCTGTCCTTGATACTTTCCTTCTAGCAGCAGCTGTTGCTGTTCTGTGACTAGGGTGAAGTTTTTAATAGTAAATCACCATGGCAGCAGTAAGCTTTCCGCAGCCTGACTTTTGCTCCATGGAAGAATGGTGCTAACATGTATAACTTGTGAGATGCTTTTCTTTGCTCTTAAAAGACCCAACATTGCAGCAGAACAGGCAGTACTATGTTTGTCGTCCATGAGGGTTTTACAGTGAATGATGTGATATCTTTTCCAGAGCAGTGGCTACAGGAACCTCTCTGCTTGAGCCTTACTGCTGTGACCGCACAAGTAGATTTGGAGGTCTGTCTCGCTGGTGGGATGCACTTCTGTCCTATGTCTGTGACCATGAACTACAGCTGCAGCAGCATTTTTGTGAAGGATTTGACAGTATTTAGTGTAAGTGAAAGAGGAGCTAGTGAAGGAGGCTCACCTTTTTTTGGCCTTCATTGCAGGTCACTTTCCTCCATGAGGAGAGAAGAACAGAGAGCCTGAAGGAGATAAAACGGGATACAAGCAACACAGGCAGAGTTCAGAGGAGATCTGCAAAGGTGGCGATCTATTATCTCCATGAGCTAGCTGGAGAAGAGCTGGCCAAAGAGTGGCCCAAGAGAAAAGTTCTGCAGGACTTGATTCCAGATGACCGGAAGGTACAAGGCCTTAAAGATGCTATATAGAGTTTGAGTCTTTCTTCACATCAGATGAGTCTTGCACTGGCATCTAAACAGTCTTGCCAGTGTTTAGTGGCCCATGGAAAGCAATATTGAAGAAGTAATATCTTGTGGGAGGGATCAGGTTTTGCGCTCTCTGGTCTTAGATTGCGGTATTACTACAGAAGGAATTGCTGTGGTATTAGTATTTTATCCAGGCAGGCTATAATGACTTTCAAGTCCTATTGCTGTAATTTTCACTGAGCACAAGTAACGAAGGCAGTTATAGGCAGTATGCTGCTCACAAGTCAAAGGGTGCAGATCACTGCTGCCATGCAGTGATATTTCATAGTTTTTCAGGCTTCGGACTTTCCAGGAGCATCTTCTAGGCTATAATGGAAATCCAAGGGAAAAGGATGATTTATGATTTTATTGGGGTAAGTACATTTAGAGGAATAATTGTAGTGTAGCCAAAGTTATGGGAAGGTTTGGATTCTGGTATTGTGGGGATTTTCCAGATTCGGTTATGTTTGTAGAGTCGGTGAGATGGCAAAAGATTGGTTATTGAGAGTTTGGCTGTTAGAGTAGAAGAAGAAATAGCACTTGTCTCACAACCTGGGAGAGAAAGGGACATACTTGACACTATGTGTAGCCAACATTACTTCCAGCTTTCAATTCCATCTCTTTATCTCAGCTGAAATATACTCGTCCTGGACTGCCAACATTTAGTCAAGATGTGCTATGCAAATGGAAAACGGAGATAAAGATGTACCGAAGAGTCCACTGCCCAAATCAGGTAAGTGTTTCTGAAGCATCAAAGGGGACAGATTTCAGGTCTGTATGAGCCAACAGCTTTCCACAACCTTGAAATGTCAGTTTGTCTCGCTGTGGAAGACAAATTCTGCTCCATCTCGGTATGGTTGGTTAGTGTGACCAAGACCCTGTTTGGACTGCTGCCCTAGGGATGATCCTTCTGGGGATGTGTTTGTCCACTTCAGAGCCAGTAACTTCATGTCAGACTGATACAGCTTTCACGTCCAGCTGGGAGCTGGTCCGTTTGGAGGTTTGAGCAGTGGAAAAATGACAGGCCCCTGTCTGTCTAGCAGGTCTACTAAATCTAATTATAGAAGAAGGGAGGAGTAGAGATGGAGATGTAAGAGTAGAGGGACTTTGTCCAGCACAGCACTTCAGTTTTCTTTTGAAAGCTGGAAATGGGCTACAGAAGACACATGCGTGGTACTGTCATCCTGGTCTGGGGATGCTTATGCTTGTGCGTTTGATTTCTTACAATCCCATGCAGCAGTCACCAGTCAGATCCAGTGAGAAGAAATGGCCCCACTGGTAGAAACTGTGGTAGATGTGAAGCACATTACACACACTGCCAGATAGCCAAGGGTCACTGGTGGCTTCTGTTTGGGTTTGGTGTAGAGACAATGCCTTCCCCCTGCCCTACCCCACCCCCGGCACTCTCTCCCCAATTTTTAGGCTTGCATCATTTCCAAGTATAAGAATTGCAACATAATGTTGTATATGGAGCTGTCCTCAGAAAGCAGCTGTCCTATTTCATCAACCAGTAACCCAGAAGCATGTCTTGCACCTACCTCCCATTTCAGGGTCTGGGCTGTTGGCTAAGCATGATCTAGCATCCCGAGACTGATGCCTAAAGCTCCACATGGGATAGGCCTGTAAAGCTATCCTCTAACTGAGACCATTGGTGTCAGATACAGTACTTCTGCTCTGTGCCACTAGACGCACAAGCAGGTCAGGAGAGATTGAAGTGTCTTTTGCTTGCCCCTGTGCTTTGTTTGAAATTAATCTCCACTGCACTTTAGGCAAAATGCAAACTCTATCATTTTACTCAGGCCTTTGATAGAGGGTGAATGTAACTGTGACAGGAACCTCGTTATTATGTCTAAATGTGCTCAGAAACTGGAAATATTCAACTTACTGAAAGCTTAAGTCTCTTTTAATGGTCTTTTTACCAGAAGCTTTCTGACTTTGTAGGACTCGGTATCTCCCTCCCTCTGCTTCTCTTATCTCTTTTGGAATTGTCTCCCAGAGAGTAAGACTTTCTTGTGCAGGAAGAAGTGATTTCTTACTAGAGTTTTGCTGACACACACTTTTTTTACTGTTTCAGGGTTGTGAATCTGTATATGGCAGTGTCTCAGGACTCAAATCTCACCTCGGCACGTGCACCTTGGTTAGTAGCCTTCCTGTACTCACTATCTTTTATACCAATAGCCTGGCTGTCCCTGTCCCTCAGATAACTCCTTGTTCAAGCTGTTGTTATACCATCTGCTAATCTGAGTTCCTCACAATTTGCGTGTTTCTTCTGAGCTAATGGGGTTGTCATTGCAAACATTGCTTGAGGCAAGGAGGAAGCATCTTAATGGCATGCATTTTAGTGAAACTGCAGTCCTACCTGCAGATTCACAGCTACAAGAGCATTTTTTCCAGCTACAGTGCTGGAGACTTTGCAACATCTAGAGAGCAATCCTATGCGTTGTGGGCATAGCTGGTCGATACTGTCAGTGCTCCTGTAGCTAAAACATTGTCTGGTATGAATAAGAGTTTCTACTTCTTACTGCTGGATTATATCTTAGCAAGATTCAAATACAATATATAGGTGTATCAGCCTTCTAGGCAGCAATTGGTGATGGATTTTTTTGTTTTGGTGCCAGGGAGACTTTGTGGCTGGTAAATACAAGTGTCTCCTGTGTGAGAAGGAGTTCATTTCAGAGAGTGGGGTCAAGTATCACATCAAGTCTGTGCATGCTGAGGTAAGGCAGGCAGAATGGAAGTCCTCAAACCCCAGGTTGCTGGAGGTGGGGAGGGTGTCTTGGGAAGGAAGTGCTGTATGCTTGCCCTGTTTTATTTTTTCCTTGCTCACTGTTGGGAACAGGATCTTAGACTCAAGTGGCCTTTGATTTGCTTAAACATAGCTGGTCTTATGCATTGGTCTGGGGAGCAGGTGATGTGTCGTGTCACATGTCTGGTCCCAAGCTGCTGCTGCTCAGTTCAGCTCTTCAGCATTTCCCATGCCTTTAGCCAGGCAATTGCCAAATCAAATCTGAATCCTCTGAGACAGAGTGACACCTGAGGAGGGACATCAAAGAACAGAGCTTTGTTAGGCAGCTGCCTTTCCAGATTTCACATCTCAGGAAACCCTTGTCCCACAAGGCAGCTTTATTATAAGTTCTGATAGGCTTTATATGGTATTTCCACCATAAGTACCAACCTGTTGCCTTCTAAACCCTCCAGGACTGGTTTGATGTGAACACAACTACCACCAAAAGCTTTGAGAAGCTAATGAAACTCCGCCAAAGAGAAGAGCAGAGGAAGCAACGGAAGAAACGTCCTTTGGCCCGAGGCAAAAAGAAGAGAACTGGGACCCTGACTTCCAAGAAGCTCCCCATTGCTGGAGTTGAAAAAATGAGGAGAAGTAAGAGAGGTCGTCCACAGCGGGTGGACAATGAGAGCATGAGTAGTGAGGAGGGTGAGCCCCAAGTTGCACAGAGAGATGAATTTCCAAAAACCAGCCGCAAGCGAGGCCGGAAGTAAACCCCTAGAAGAAGAGAAGGAGTAATCCTAAAGCTTTTCAGTTACAAGCCCCACTTCTGTCAGGCTCATAACCCACAGCACCAATATAAGCAACTGAATGTCTTTGGGACTGTGACTCCATTCTACTCAGAGACCTTGATTTTGAAGCTGTTGCCTCTGGTCAGTTGTGAGAGACTTCAAACCAAAGCTGTGGTACAGAGGCTGCCTCTCCTAGTGTAGTTCCTTTGGACAGTGGCACTAGCAGTGTACTCAGTGTAGTTCCTGCTCTGGTTACAGTCTCAGTTTGGGTCACATTAGTTGCTTCTTTAGTGGTTTCCAGTATAGCAGCTGTCTGTTTTGTCATCTTCCTCTGATGGGTGAGATCAGGGTTCTTTTTTTAGCAGTTCTGCCTATAAGGACTGACTAGCACAGTGTTTAGGTCTCTTTAAGGGGGGAATCCTTTCTTGCACAGTATGCACACAAACTAAGCAGTGCTGTGCAGAATACAAAGGCTTTAGCTTGCCCTGTAACTGTTGTCAGCAGAGCAAATACCTTCCTAGCGTGTGCTCCAGTCTGTTGCACAAGGCTGTCTACAAGGTGTCTACTTCATACACTGATGTTTAGGCTCAGCACCAGACAGTAGCACATGAGCTCTGGTCTGCTTGGAAGTGATGAGACATCACTGTTACCCTCATCGGGAACCCGATATTCCCCCAGCATGCATCTTCTGTAGCACTGGGTGTTGAATGTATGTAGAGGGTCTTCCAGTCCAGCGAGGAATAAACACTCTCCAGCATTTTGGAGATTCACTGGCCTTTCAGAGACCTCCCCCATAACTAATGTAATAAGATGGCCTTTGTGGACCCTCTGAAGACTGCTTGTTTCAGACTCACCTGGGAAACAAACTTACTGCAAGACAATGTATATCTACAATAGCAGTCTTGCTAATGATGAAACCCAGGTTCCATTGAACTGCCTTGCCAGTGTGGTGTTCTGTGTCATGCCCATGCTCCCATAGTGTCCTTTTTTTTCTACACTGTAGACGCCACCTATGTTGTCTTATATCACCTGTTTATTTTCAATGCTGCTTCCTTTGTGTGAATGAGGCCGTGACTTTCCTGTGTGGAAAAGGTTAAAAGAAGAGGGTTCATTGTTTTAAGCGTCGCCATGAACTCTGGATCATAGGGGATATGTTCCTGTGCTCCATAAATGCAGCAGATGTCATAGAAGTTAGTAGGAAGCAGCAGCACAGGCAGTCCTACTCTGTCTTTCAGACAATGAGTTCTCCAGAATTTCTGTTATCCAAAGACCCACTGTACCAAGAAGTTGCAAAATTTCACCTTTTCCTTGCAGTTTTGCAGGCGAGAAAATAGGCAGCTGGCTCCGTGTTACCTCCCCGTGAATTGTCAATGTCTACCAAAGTTGCTGGTGCTGAAATTCACAGGGAAGCCATTGCAGTGCCTGGTAAACAGGCAGGTTTACACATATGTGTAATTACCAGAATAATCACATTGGCCCAGACAGTGGGAAGTGCTGTATGGCCAGGGTGTTCTCAAGAACTGCTGTGTAATAAGCAAAGCACAAAGACCCCCTGGTCTGTGTCTCATGGGGATTAACACCTGTATGGTAGTGAGACAGCATGCAGTGAGTAGTTACACTGTGTTTTGGAACCAGCTGTCACTGTGGTTGCAGTGCTGCACTAAAAGTATAAATATATGGACTTCTGTGTAGGGTGCATAAAGTTTGCAGTACGAAGGGCAAGATCAGAAGATGACAAAATAAAATGTCACCAGTGTGAGAATGTGGTTTCTTGTGTGTTTGGTGTAGTGTTCTTGGTACCATCCCTAGTTGCACAACACACCCCAGCCTGCCCACTTGGTTGTCCTGCATGCTCTGGTGCTTGGTGCTGTTCAGTTGTCTGCACCATTTCTTCTCAGTACTCCAGTCTACACAGCTGTACTTTGACCACACATGTTTACTGCCTTTCTGCCCAATAGATGGACAACACGATAAACCCATGAATTAAAGGAGGTTTTTCTTAGTGGATTTTAGTCTAGAGTCCTCTTTACTGTCACTTATGGGTTACTAACCAGGCCTGCTTTCTAGACATGGGTACTTCATGACCACCTGGATTTTGTAGAATTACATCAACAACATATTCCCCCACATAATGTGGCCTGTGAAAAAAAAACATTATCTAACAGTCTATTCCTGGTCCATCAGTGTTACAGCAGATCATTTGCTGGATTGGCTCAAGAGGGTAAGAGGTGGTGGCACTGCTGCAGCAGCACAGTCCACTGCTTTTGAGGAATGTGATCTGTTCAGGAGCACCTGCATCCTGCTGCAGGTGGACTAAGGCAGGCTACCCAATATGACTGCAGCCATGCTCTACTGTTACGAGGGCACAGGAAAATTTAGCCTCAAGGAAGGTATTTTAATTGGGGAATTCACAACATCATGTGTATCCAGGGCTATAAATAACATAAAACCAGCTAATTGTACTACAGCCTACCATGCTAAGATTGACTGTTCAAGCATCCATGAGTCCACTGTTCAATCCATTGTTAAGAGTTCAGTTAGCCTAACATTTTGCAAATCCAGGTCAAAATTCTACCCTATGGAATCATAGAATGGTTTGGGTTGGAAGGGACCTTTAAGGACCATCTAGTCCACCCCTCTTGCCACAGGCAGGGACATCTTTCACTAGATCAGGTTGCTCAAAACCCTGTCTGACTTGACCTTGAATACTTCAGTGATGGGGCATCTGCAGTTACTCTGGGCAACCTGCTTCAGTGTCTCACCACCCCCATTGTAAAAAAATACTTCCTTTTGTCCAGTCTAAATCTACCCTCTTCCAGTTTAAAACCATTGTCCCTTGTTCTGTCACTACAGGCCCTCACAAAAAGTCTCTCTCCATCTTTCTTATAAGCCCCTTCAAATACTGAAAGGCCACAATAAGGTCTCCCTGAAGCCACCTCTTCTCCAGGCTGAACAGCCACAACGCTCTCAGCCTTTTCCTCATAGGAGCGGTGTTCCAGCCCTCTGATCATTTTTGTGGCCCTCCTCAGCACCTGCTCTAACAGGTCCATGTCTGTCTGGGAGCATGAGCCACAGAGCCGGACACTGTGCTCCAGGCGGGGTACCGTGAGAGCAGAGTAGAAAGGGAGAATCACCTCCCTTGACTTGCTGGCCACATTTCTTTTGATGCAGCCCAGGATGCAATTGCCTTTCTGGGCTGCAAGTGCACGTTGCCGCGTCACGTCCAATTTTTTGTCCACCAGTATCCTCAAGTCCTCTGCAGGGCTGCTCTCAATCCCTTCATCCCCCAGCCTGTATTGATATTGGGGATTGCTCTGACCCATGTGCAGGACCTTGCGCTTGGCTTTGTTACTGATCTCCATTCAGACATAGAGCCATTCATTGACTGCAACTCTTTGGATGTGGCCATCCAGCCAATTCCTTATCCATTGAGTAGTCCATCCATCAAACAAATTAAAAAAGAGACCAAACCTGATGTTTTATTCTTAAACTTAATTACTGCTAATTTTTATTATAAAACTGGTTAAATAAACCTTTATTTGATTTTTTTATAAACTTTGTTTAGTTTTGTGGGAAAATATGAATCACACTGAAATTTGTGCATGAAGGATATGCTGTCTCCATTGAAATTGTATACAAACATAAAACAGAGAGTGCTGAGGGCAAGTTGGGGGAGCAGTATCTGAAGACACTTTTAAAGATCTGCAGGAATTTCTGTCTGTGTCATACCAGCTGGTAACCTATGGCAAAGAATCACAGTGTCCATCCTTCGGTAACAGGCAGAAGCAGTGAACTCCCAGTCCAGGTACCTGAGATGTTAGCACCCATCCAAGACAGCTACCTGCAGTTTCCACCATGGTTAATGGCCACCGATCTTCCCCACCCTGAGTCCAGCTGCCCTTTCACACATCAGTGTTGTGAACCTGTTTTGCTCCCAGCCAATCTGCAGTCATCACCAAAGCACTTACAGATAAACCACAGGAGATGCCAATGAAAACCACTTTCTTCTCCCCATGAGAGACCTGAGGTGGGAGAAAAAAGGGGAAACTGTTGTGCTGGTGGGAAAAAAGATTCCTCCCTGTATTAGATTGGCAAGGGGCTCTGAATCACCCTGGTGAAGAAGGGATGGTGCAGCCAGTAATAGAAAAAAGGGGCTTCTCAATGCACTGGTTGAAAGAGAGCCACCATCCTTGCCGGGAAAGGTGGACAGAAGGGAGCTCACCTAAGGCACAACACAAGCAGTAACCTGGTTGTGCTGACTCTTGTCGTTCTCTATTTTGTCACTCTCCTGCAGTTATCCACGGGGAAAGCTGGATCTTCCCCCAGCCAAAACATAGGTGCTGGCAGACACTCCTTCCTCACAAACCAGAACACAAATCCCCACACCCTCAGCCCCTTGACCCTTCCTCCAGGGCAAGCCTGGACCTATTCCGTATAACATCAGTTCAGGCAGCACACACTGCTGCTGCTGGCACAGGTAATGCTCTGACCAAAAAGCAGGCCTCTGGCTTAACAAGGCTAGCTTGGTCACGTAATGACAGATACTTACCTAAGAGGGGTCTTGGCTGCAGCAACCACTCACAGCTCTTGCTATATGTATGTCACACACAAATAAATGATGGTCCTCAGAACAGGCCTCAAAGTAGGGTCCATCATGATGCTGTCAAGAGACTGTGAACTGAGCAGTCAGCAGTCAGCCTTATTTCAAACTAGAACATTTATGATTTTATTCCTTGTTCTTGAACCTTATGTAACTTCTCTCTGTAGAACAAAGAGGCCTCTAATATTCAGTACATTCTCCCAGGTCTGTGTATGCATTAAATGATTGTAGCCGAAAAGATAGGCCTGTAACAAAGGCCTACTTGTATTGTATGTGATATAAGAAACTATTCATTGTTACTTTAGGTAGAAAGCTAACGATTCTTAGAATGAGCACCTGCTACACATCATGATAAAAAGGAGGAGCTACAAGACACTTCAAGGTCCTTATATACATACTTTTCAGAAAGGGAGGACACTAATTGCCTCCAGCAGCATCCTTATCTTCCTGAGGCATATAGCGAACAATTACCAACACTGAAGTATTGAGAAACTAGGGGAAAGGTAACTTGGGCCAGGGTCCCCATGACCACCGACCCATAAGCCCCCTATCCAAATTATACCACCTACTCAAAAGATAGAGGTGGAGAAGGGAACTGAGCATGTGTTCTA